GACAGTTTACAGCAACATGGAGCTGTAGCGGAGGTAATTGTATGCACAAGTGGCTCTCTCTGTTTAATAAAAAGATTTTCACAAGGCTTCTGTATTTACATAGAGCAAGTGATAAGAGTCTGAAGGGGTTTGAATTAATATTACACAGTTAAGCCCCTATAACTAGTTAACTAGCTGTAGGTTTTAACGGTATCATAGTAACTCAAAAATCTTTCAGACCCTATTAAACTTATAGGAAAGTTATCGCTCCGTCTACGTAAATACATCAAAGTCCTGTTCTTGAGTTCTAAGCAAATGTTTTTATTAAACTTGGAGTTAAACAAAACGCACCATTTGTGCGTACAATCATCACCACCACTTGTGGGTAGTAAAATAACTTAAAAGATGAATTTGCATATTAAAAGTATCGTAATCGGAAACTACACGAATTTTTCCTAAATAAGCTGACTCAAGTTTCAATTTCATGCCGTCTAGGAAATGGTTAATGCCGAAGTATTAACTAGCGGAGCTGGGCTAAATTAGACCTACAAGCGTCGCTGCCTTAAAGTTCTGTATCTAAAAACATTCAATATCATCGCCTTAAATACTCTTTAATTCATTTGCATCCTAATGAGAATTAAGAGAAAGAAAAAGAGATCCAAGATTTAAGTCATTCAAGTCATAAAAATTTGTTTTTAGTGTGCACGGAGAGGGCCTGCATGTTTTTCTCATCAACAGATGCTATGCACAAGATCTGATGTGTACACCACATGACTTCCTTGTAGGGAATATTAAATTATACGCAATTTTTCTTGCATTTCATTTAGAAACTTATTGGAATGAATCAAATCTACTTCGTCGATAGCGCATAAACTCCAATAGAATAAATGCACTCTTTAAAATTCACTATATTTGTTTACTATAGCGACACTCTGGCGCTAGATTTACTTAAAAGCGTTATATTTCGTTCATATTATACCTCAGAATGCACAAAATGTATATATCATTTGAAGAATTATCTAACCGTTGCCACATATTCTATTCAAATACTATAATAAATCTAAAACGATGTATAAAAGAAATTAAGCAAACAAAAAACAAAAAAACAGTTATTCACAGACGATTCAGTATTTCACATTCAATTAAGTTCTGGCTTCGCGACAAGCCAAAAATACATAAAAACACAAAATATCTATATTAAAAATTGCGTTATTTTCTCGAAAAAATTCCAAAATGGATTAAGCATGATTTAATTCGCAGTAATAAATGAAGGCGTTATCTTTGTTGTTGCGAAGCTTAGTCTCTCTAGATTGGCAACCAGTCTACTATTCTGCTGTTTCTGTGGATTCTGCTTTTTATTCTGTAAACAACTATGTCCGCCATGTTATTTAAAAATTAGGCTTAACCGCACTTAAACAGCTTTTAAATTGTTGATAATTGTACAAATATTGCTTGAAGATTTCCTAAAGGCATAAAAACCTTGACCGAAAGATAAGAACAACATAATTCAATCTTTTTTAAAGCAAACATTGCACAATTTACAAACGCATAAGAGTAAAGAAACTAAGATCCCTGAGCCGGGTAACAGAGTGGATATATACGTTTGGTGCGGCCGATGCAACCAAAATACGAAGTGCACGTCTACATGTTATAGCAGTCCCTATATACAAAATTTCAACGCGCTGAGGCTACTCGTTTTTGAGTTATGCGAGATATGTACATACGTATATACAGACGCCACGAAAATTTTCTTCAGAATTCATTTTAAAGCAGTTTTATAATTTTTTGGAGGAAAAGAGTCTTATTCTGTCCTCACGTACAGATGTCACGCAAAAACATCGTTAAATTGCATTCGATAGCGATCAAAATGGATATTTTCATTGAAATATACTGCCTGAAACATTTCACGATTATAATACTCCCTTTTTACTTCGTACAAGGAAGTAAAAAAGGGTGCAAAGAAAACAAATACGAACAAAATTTCATTAATAAAACTCTGAAATTTCTGGCCTGAGTTGCGCAAACTGAATGTAATGATAATGTAAGAACTGTTATGTAGAGTTCGCTTTTCAAGAAAGAAGATGGTTTAAAGCAGAGGTGAGCAATCTTTTTTTTTTTTTTTTTTTTTTTTTTTTTTTTTTTCAATGGGCCAACTGCAAATTTAAAAATTTTATGCAGGACGAATATAAGAAATTTATTCCAATATCAATATTATATAATAAACACAAATTACCACTTTATTAACAAAATGAACAAAAAAAACCAATCTTTGGTCTGTTTTTGCAGGTATGGACGACACAAAAACTCTCATGCAGCTTTCAAATCTTACGATGTTTAGCTTCGATCGGGTGCCATTTTTAATTATCTTCATTGTGAAAAATAACTATTTGCTGACGTAAGTACTTCCAAAAAAGCATGTCTGACGAATCGTGCAAATAGAACTTCTTTCGATGTTCACGTTCTGAGATTTATTTCTCAAATGTGGTGCTGTTTACTAAATCTATTAACTTCATTTTTAATTCATTCGAAACGGTTCCTAATTTTGTACTAAATGGCGAAGAAAATGTATAAATTAAGAATGTTTATTTATTTATTTATTTATTTCCTGACGTAAATATTGTTACGAATTTGGTATTTAAAAAGCTAATATTAGTTCAATTATAAATTAAATGGTTTTATTTCTCGCGCAGTGCAGCGCGTGACGAATATTAAAAGAAAGCTAAGCCGGAAAATTGAAATTACAAGAGCGCGTGCATTAAATAAATAAATATCTCTTTTTGATTTCGAGAAAGTACTGGAAAATTCTATCGCGTGATTTTAAAATCTTATAAAAGGAGGAAAACATCTCAGTTTGTAGTAGTTGCTTAATTTATTGTTGTTAGAAAACTGCTCTTGTTGATTGTAGCGAATTCGCGGATTAGCTTTCTTTAGCTGTTTGAATTATGTTCTATTGGACATTTGAGTAGTTAAAAGATAACTACTGTGAGATATTGTAATACTGCATGATAATTTGAGAAAATTTAAGCATTTATGTTGTGATAATAATAAATTTTTGTTCATTTTTCATCGGACTTGTGCATTCATTTCATAAGGAACCCGTACGCACGCAACAATTTTTGGTGTCAGGAGTGGGATTTTGAATGCCAATTACAAGAGCGATGGAAGAACAATTCAGGCAAATGATGACTGCATTTACTGCTTTCCAAGAAAAGATGGAAGGGGCCGTCAACTCCGTTAAGGAAGAAATGAAATTGGGCCAGGAATCCGTTAAAGAAGAAAAATAAAATTAGGCCAGAAATCCGTTAAGGAAGAAATGAAAGCGACACGGGAACAGATGAAATTGGGCCAGGAATCTGTTAAGGAAGAAATGAAAGCGAGACAAGAGGAATTGAAGACAGAAATTACTTGCATAATAGAAAACAAATTCGAAGCTATGGAAGGAAAAATAGATACAGTTGAAGACAATGTCGGAGAAATTCAAGAAAGAGTTTCTGCGGTAGAGCAACAAATTGAACAAAGAGTTTCTGACGTCCAACAACAAATTGAGGAAAGGGTTTCTGCTGCTGTTGCCAAAGAAGTTGACACTTTAAAGAAGAGCATAGCGACAGAAGGAAGCAATTCTGAGGGTTTTAACTTCTTACCGATGCTTGCTCGTCCGTTTCTGAAGCTATCCACATATGATGGGAAGACATCCTGGCAAGTATATAAAACACAATTTTCTATCGTTTCGGATGCGAATGGATGGGATTCCCAAGCTAAGGCCTGTCATCTCGCCGCTTCTTTAAGAGCAGACGCAGCGGATATCCTTCAGACTCTTCCCGATAACAAAAGGTTAGATTTCGAAGCTCTGTACACCGCCTTGGAGCTGCGCTTTGGGCAGAAGTGTTTAAAAGACTACAGCAGGCTCCAATTAAAATCTCGCCAACAGAAGCCTACCGAAACACTCCAGGAGCTCGCCACGGATGTTGAAAGGCTGTCCCATCTCGCCTTTTCGGAATGCCCGACAGAAACAAGGGAAATTCTGTCCTTGCAATACTTTATCGACGGCATCCGGAATACTGAAATACAGAAAGCTCTACGAATGGCGGATGTAAAAGATTTAAAAAGCGCTCTAGTGTACGCCATGAAATTCGAGGCAGCCCAGCAAGCAACTCGTAGAGACCGCCACCCAATCAGAGCTGCTCATGTCCAGGAGCCAAGGGATCAAGTCACTGTTCGTCTAGACGATATAACCAGGACAGGACAGGAAAAAGTGCAGGGGGCACCACGACATCATCATAGACAAAAATGGTATTGCCCCACTGCACTAACCTTTTCTGGCATTTATTAAGACAAAAGATTACAAGTCATTACATTTCGCAGTTGACATAATAAATTACATTAAAGTAAAAAGTTATTTGCATAGGAAGAACAATTATAAAGATAAACTGGGGTACAGGTAATCGAGGTAGAGATATATTGGTAAAGAGGAATCAATATGGAGATAACATGTTACAATTAATTAGGTGTTGCAGTTTGACATTTGTTGGTGTGCTTGGAGGAACGCCTTAGCATATGGGAAGATGGATGTGATGTGAGTTATAATGCTATGTTATTTTTGTGTTGGTGGTATCATTGTGTGATTGTGCACAGATTTTCCAGAGTTTACTTTGCACAGAGTTCATTATGCATAGAGTTCAATGTGCACAGAATTGTGCGCAGCAGCATGGAGAGCACTTTGTATAATGGGCATCAGATAATAGTGTAAAGTTCAAAGTACTGCGCTTTGGTAGTTTGAAGGCACTGGTAGTTGATAATTATCACTCACATAAATAGTGATGACTTAGGATAGGAGCACTCCCTGTTGAATATCATATTTGAATCATATGAGTACCTTAGATTGTTTCCATGGAAAGTTAAATGGTGAAGCTGCAGATTAGATGTCGTTCTTCAGTGGAATGAGCAAACAGTCATGATTCTTTGGACAGCTGTGTGGTGGCACTTCGATTGCTAAGTATTCATCATTACGTCCGTTTTGTTATTTATGAGTGGCATAGTTCTCTACCTTGTTGTTGTAGCTTGTCTATGATTAGTTTAATGTTTTTGTAGGTGTGTTGATGGTTGATTAGGAATCTTTTAAATTCCATTCCCACTTGAGTAGGGTGTTTGACGTGTAGGTTGGCGGTTAGTGGGCAATGAAAGACATAATGGTCAGGGTCGCTTTTTTCCCCACATACGCACAAATCAGTAGAAGTAAAATTTCTTTCCAAGAAATATGTAGGGAAAGGGCCGTGACCTGAGATATATTGTGTCAAGAAATAGTTGGATACTGTGCGTGTATCGTCTATCTTCGGTATAAAGCTGCAGGTACGTCGTCCTGTTGTACCATTTTCCCAGTCTTGCTGCCATGTCTCAGTTGCAAGTTGTTTGAGCTTTGATTTTAATGCCGATTGTGGCCAGGGGATGTTTATACCGTCACCGACTTGAAGTGCTGCCTGTTTTGCAAGGAAGTCCGCCCTCTCATTGCCTTCGCAATTATTATGGCCTCTGGTCCATGAGAGAATGAACTGCTTATTACTTGTCCTTATGGTCTTCTGGATGTCCTGTGCTATTGGTGAGTTGGTGTAGAAGCTTTGAATAGCTTGTATAGATGACTGACTGTCTGTCACGATATGAATGGTGTCTGTTGGGTCTCGTAGCAGGTGGTTGATGGCGAGGCGAATAGCGGTTAATTCGGCCTGGTAGACACTGTTATTTGATCTCAGGTGCCCCTGCCATTCCGAGTGAACTGATGCTGGTGCTGATTGAGGTGTACTGGTGTTGATGCAGATTGTTGCTGCACAGCCCACTTTATTGTCAATTTTGGATCCATCTGTGAAAGCTGTTATATTGGTGTTAGGTGGATGTGTCTGGTATTTTTGGGGTTTTTCTTTATATTCATCAGGGTGGAAAATGGTATCTGCGAATTTTGTTGGTTTTCTTAGCTGTAATACTTTTGTCGAGATTGCTTCTACTTGAGTTTTTATTGGTAGGGGAATAACTCCGGCGAGTGTTTGCAGGGCGTTTGTTGAAGTTGTGACATATGCTCTTGTTATGTTTGAGTAGAATGGTCGCTGAATTGAATTTAATAATCTTCTTTTGCGCTCTGTCATTGGAAATGCCCATATTGCTGCTGCATAGGTGATGATTTTGTTGATTACAGTTTTGAGTAATATTTTCATGATTTTGCTGTTGAGGCCCCAGGAGTAACCTCTCATAGTCTTTAGGGATTGAGCAATTTTGGCGGTGGTGAGTTTCTTCTGTTGAAGATGTGTTCGATCCAGTTGAACTTATGGTCGATAATTAAGCCAAGGTATTTAATGGACTTAACACATTTGATTTTGTTGTTGCCTATTTTCAGAATTGGGTATCTGGTGATGGAGCGTCCAAGCTTGTGAATAATCAGGGCTTGGCTTTTAGAGTGAGAGATTTGCAGTTTAATCCTGTGGCACAGCTGGTTGAAGATGTCAAGCGTAACGTTGCAATTTTCTTGGAGATGGTCGCGGGTGGAGCCTTTGACGATAAAAGCAACATCATCGGCAAAGGCCACAATTTTGGTGTGCTCCGGCCAGGTGTGGTCAATAATGTGATTGAAGGTGACATTCCAGAGGTCCGCACTCATACATGATCCTTGTGGGCATCCTCTAGATTGATTTCTGTAGATGGTTGAGTTGTTGTAAATGACGATGCTTTTCCTATTGTCGAGGTAAGAAGTTATTAATTGGTAAAGATTTTTGGGACAGTCAATCTCTCTGAGGGCCTGTTTTATGGCTGGCCACCAGAGAGAGTCGAAAGCATTTTGGAGGTCCAGGCATAGAAGTGCAGAATACATTTGGTGTTGTTTATTCTTTGAGATCTCTGAGAGTGCAGAGTCAATTGCGTGAGTAGTGGATCTATGAGGTTTGAATCCGAACTGATACTTGCTGATTTTGTTATTTTTATAGAGGTGATACTTGACTCTTGTAATTGTCAGTCGCTCTAGTAATTTGCCCATTGCTGGTAGTAGGTTGATCGGACGGTATGAGCGCGGATCCTCTGGGTTTCTATTCTTCTTGGAAAAGAAGACTATTTGACCGATCTTAAAGCAGTCTGGAAAACATTTGTATTCCAGGCACTTGTTGTAGAGGGTGAGTAGAAGATCTGGAGTTTCCCTGCATATGATTTTTAGAATTTTGTTCGGTATGCTATCAAGGCCAGGGGCTTTCTTATTATTTAAGGATTTGACGTGTTGCCTCAATTCATGTTTAGTAAATGGGATGTCGTCAGGAGTGGAGGGGAGATTGTCGTTAGCTCTCATTTGTGCTTGTTCAGGGGTGTCTTGATTGCTGTCATCTTTAAGGAAGACTTCATCCATTATTGCATTGAGGGTGTCCAGCGTGGTATCTGCATTGTTATTTTGTTGGATTTGATGGGTGGCATGTATTTGCGTAGGTCTAAATATTTTTGATGTGGCCATTTTATAGAGGGTGCCATAGGTGTCTTGATTGGTAGTGCAGTATTTGCTCCATGACTGTAATTTAGCTGTAATTATCATGTTCTTTTGTCCACCAATTGGCTCTTGTAGACTGGTTGGCTTTTTTTTATTTTTAGTGTATTTTAACAAAGTTCTTGGATTTGTCGCGTGGTGTTTTCTGCGCTTGCATTGATTTCATCTTTGGAGTTGCATGTGGTGAGTTCTTGCAGAATGTTGTTGGCGATCCTTCTTAGAGATTTGGTGAATTTCTTCTCCGTTTGTTGATTGATTTTGAAGCGCATTGTATGGATTTGTTCAATTTGCATGTTGGCTTCGAAGGTGATGTAGTGATGATCAGAATTGGAGTGGTCGTCACTGATTTTTCTATTGGTGATGTTATTGATCAGATGGTGGGTTGTAAGTAGAAGGTCTGGCCAACCTTTACCGTTAATTGTTTCAAAAGTAGGTGAGTCATCAGAGTTGTTGTGGAGTATTAAATTCTGAGAGTGTATTAGGTCTTCCATCTGTAAGCCACGTGGCGATGTGAAGTGGTAACCCCATAGACGGTTCTGAGCATTGAAGTCGCCACAGATGACTTGGGGGACTTGCATGCTTTGTAGATTGTGGTTGATTTCTTGCAGTGTGATGTCTAGGTCCTCCGCTGGAGATGCATAAGCGCTTGTTAGGAGGAGCTGCGTGCCTGCAGTTGTTATAGCAATGGTAACAATGTCTCTGTGATCTTTGATCACAAGAGGAGACCATGATTTATTGATGACAAAGATAACTGCTCTTGGGGGTTTGTCAGGTACTGGGTTATGTTGCGAGAAGATATTCCATGTAGTTGGAATATTTCTTGGGGCTCCGTTGTTGCAATAGGGCTCCTGTGCAAAGATGACATCATAGTAGTTCTCGGAGACGTAATTGTACTAGTGTATCGGTGGCAGTTTTCGACCTCTGAAGATTTATTTGTAGTGCTTTGAAGCTCGGAGAGGTAGCGGACTTGATTAATGAAATTGGATGCTGGTACATGAGGAATATTATGAAAATGTTATCGAACTACTCCTGATATTGTGTTCTAGATCTAATTCTGGTTGTTTCCTCTTTGTAAGATGAGCAGGAGTTGGTATACGCTGGGTGGTTGCAGCTATAGCCTGTTCCGTAGTGTAGGTTATTAATTTCGCAATTGATGCAATTTGGGGAATTAGCATTACAGTCTCCTTCTTTGTGCTTTCCACCACAGTAAGCGCAGTGAGAGTGGTATTCACATTCTTTTGTACGGTGACTGAATGCTTGACAGTTTGTGCAGCGATGTGCTCCTATGAATTCTGTGATAAGGTTGTATCGCCATCCAAAGTTAACAGTCCTAAGAGAGATGCATTTGTGGAAGACATTTGGCGTGCAATCAATTATCCATTTTATAGTGTTCTTTCGGTCGTTCAGTTTAAATAGCGGGGTGACGTCTTGAGGGTTACATTCCGCTGCTCTGGCAATGGTATTTCGAACTTCCTCAGCCGTAATATGCGATGGCAATAGGTGCACTGTACATTTCGGTGTTCTCTTTTTAGGAATCCTGGTGATAATTAGTTGTTTTGCCTTTTCTGAATTGTTGAGCAGCTGATTGATTTTAATTACATCTTCGTGTGCATGGCATTTAACTGCTAGCCCACCTTGTTTTATTGGAACAATTTTATTGACTTGCGATTGGATGTTTTCTATTGGAATAATCTCTTGGAGCATATCTTGTAATTTGTTTACGCTTCTGGCGTCCTTGGCGTATATCAGCAGAGTTGGCTCGTTCTTGTTAGGCAAGTTGGCTGCTGGATGCATACTCGTTGTTGGAGGATTCTGGGTCAGATTAGTTTGCTCCTTTGGGATTTCATTGTGGTGTTGTTGCGTTGGAGCATGAGTTGTTGGACAATGTACTGAGGAACAGTTGGGATGGGAGTTATTTTGCTGGTATTTTGCAGTTGTCGGGTTAGTTGGTCGTACTGCTGTTTGGCTGTCATTAGTTTGGTGCAATTTTGTGTTTGTTGCTATTGTGTTGGGGAGGCAGAAGTTATTTTCAGTGGCAGTTGTTACATCAGTGGTGTGATCTGAGGCTAGATTGAATAGAGCAGTGAGGAGGGCATTGAGTTCTTCTCTTAAAGCAGCTGGTATGACATACCTGGAGCTATGCCGCGCGTTGGCAATTTCAACACAACGGGAGTAAATATCAATTGCTGTGGTTGGAATTTCAGTACCGGTGCCTTCCTGTTGTATCATAGTGGAGAATCTTGGGTTGTGAGGCTTTTGGCATACAGGAGTGCTCTCATTGTCGTCACTGAGAATAGGTGGAAGAGGTGTATTTCGTTGTAACATTGTGAGACGCTGTGTAGGTGAGTGTGTGGAATAGTGTAAACAGAAATAGTAATATTATAACAAAAACTGGAAATATAGCAGAGACTATTTAAGCTATTAACAAATACTTGAGATTAATAATGCATATATGAATATAGCTTGAACCGCAATCATTGAAGACGATGTAACCAGACAACTCAATGACTTGAGAAGAAATATCAGTGAAAAGAAACCGACCTTAAAAATGTTGGAACTGTGGAGCTGAAGGACACATACAGCGGACTGCAGAACACCCCAGGGCACGGATGTTAAGACCGCTCCTAGCAAGCAGCAGGGAAACTAATTAGTGGCCATCTCGCGGGGCGGAGGTTGCCAGATAATGAAAAGCCCCAGTTTAAAGCGCTTCAGATTTCTGCATTGAGAGGCGGCAGTAATGGACTTTTCATAATAGGACATATTAATGGAGTTCCCTGCAATATGACGATAGATACAGGAGCCAACGTTACCATCATCCGAAAAGATTTGGCTCAACAACTGGGAAACAAACTTATCTGGACGCCGCCCTGCGTTACCCTCCAGACTGTGTCCGGTGAGAAGATCGACATCGATGGAAAAATAAACGTTAACATCACGTTTGGAAATGCCGCTTACCATCACACAGAATATCTAGCAGAGATCACTGATTCTTGTATACTCGGATTGGACTTTCTAAGGAAATACAATTTTTCTTTGGACTTTAAAAATAACGAATTGCACTCCACATCTGAGGACCTAGCCCTATTCGGGATTAATGATGGAGTGAAATCTATCCACAAAATTATAGCTCAAGATGATATCACAATACCTGCAAGAACCGAGTTTTTACTTCTTGGATCCATAGCCGAAAATAGAAATTTCCGCTACGGCATCATAGAATATCCCGATAACTGTAACTGATAATAGCCCAAAAGGAGTAGTAGTAGCCTCAACACTCGTCGAGCTATCCAGAACGGTTATTCCGGTGAGAGTCGCCAATGTAACTGAGAAGTCGAGAGTTATTAAGAAAGGTGAAGTGGTTGCAACATGTACTCCAGTAACCAGCGTTGAAAGAAAGAGTAACATCCCAGAATCCGTGTACTCAGAGAGCATTACATCGGAGTTATTGCAGAATGCGCAATTAAATGATAAAGAGAGGAATACTGCCGATCGCGTCATTAAAGATCTTCAAGTTGTTTTCTCCCGCTCGTCTTCTGACGTGGGTCGAACTAGTTTGACACAACATAGAATAGATACCGGTGATCATCCCCCGATCAAGCAACATCCAAGACGTCTACCGTTTGCTAAACAGGAAGAGGTGCGAACACTGTTAAAAGATATGGAAGAAGGCGATGTCATTGAGCCTTCAGCAAGTCCATGGGCATCTCCCATCGTCCTAGTCAGAAAGAAAAG